AGTTACAAAGATCTTGATACAAATGGCATGAGCAAAGAGCATTTTTACTCATTCCCAAAATCAATTAACATGAAAGAACCAGAATTAGAACCAGGTGCCAGGCTTTCCTCAGTAGAGAGGAACCATTTGCAGCACTTCATGTGAACATACAATGGCTCAACAATGGCTCAACCGGTTTATATAGTAGCTAATTTTGAATTAGGCATGCAATAACAGCAGCAGCAGCATGACTACCATCAATCATTATCATCATCTTCTTGTCTCATCTTAGGAGGCAGCTTCTCATTTGGCAGAAAGGCCCTCTCTCCCTCAACTGTTCTATGTAGGCACACGTTTGTAAACACACATAATCTATATAATATATGCATGTATGCACGTATGAATTGGATCCAATCCAATGGTGTCCTTTCACCGTTGGCCAGAATGACATAATGTTGGATTTCAAAAGCAGATTAGGGCAAAAAAGAAAGTGAGAATGAATATGTTCCATTGTAGTGCACTTTGAGCCCTGTCATAAAAATAACTATGGAATCAGCAGAAGCAGGAAGAAGTGATATATACATTATTTAGTTTCAGATATTTGTAAGGAAAAGCTAAAGGGAAACCTGAGTTTATGTGAAAAGTTGATCTGAGAGGCACTGTTATTTCAGCATGTAAATTTCTGAGTGATAAAAGAAAGAAGAAATTGCTTTGTCAAAATAATTTTTGTGGAACTGTAGCAGCTGTTGCCAATATTACTGAGTTCAGGAGTTTGAAGACTTCAAATGGCTTTTATTCAGCAGTCTTTTATTATTTGGATTATCGGCTGTTAGCTGCACACATAAGTGGGATTACATTTGCCCAAAAAATAGAAAGCAAGGAATTCATATTTATTACATGTATCTGTTTTAGAAGGCACTTTTTGGGGGAAGAGCCTTACATGTCAGAAATATAAAATATTGAAGCACATCTGAGAAAACAGAAAGCTACATAATGGAAACAGAGACATTATTCTCTCCATAAGGACACAAGAATTTAGTCATGCATTTTTTCCTAATCAAGTCAAACTTCCACTGATGTTAATTGAATTTTTGTCTACACGCAGCAGCTGAAAAATAATCATAGCAGGCTTCTCATTCATCTTCATTTTAAGATTTACAAAGCCTGTCAAATTCTCAATTTCAGTTTATAGCGTTTGCTATATCAAGAACATTCCACTACTTCATGTTTCAAATATGTGTGCTTGACACTGTATATTTTTAATTAACTTCTGATAGGCTATTAATCAAAATGAAGTTTCAATTGCATTTGGCTTATTTTTCCAAGGTTGATCTATGTGCAACAGTTAGCTTTAATTTTCTATATCATTTATACTTCTCACATATACATAACAATTCATATTTGAAGTATTCACAACAAATGTTATGAAAAGACAATCCCAGAGCGGCTGGAAATTCTGGGAGATATAGTGCTCATAAATCTGCAGGGTGCCTATTTGGGGAGGACTGCTACAGAAGTACTATAGTGAACATACTTCAAGATGGTTTAAGGATCTAACTAAACCATCACTAACCGTCTTATATGTAACCTGTATTTACCTATTGCACTGTTTTTGTCGAACTGTATTTTTAATTGAAGTAATATCTATCTAGCTATATAGGCGTATCATTTTATGTCATTGTAAAACAGTCTGAACATTTCTTTTTTAGTGCAAGGGTAGGATATTTTTTCTCTTAAATACTATAAAAGGTACAGTTCAGGAATCCAATCTGGAACATTTATCAGTTATTTTAATTCTTGTTCCCCTGAGAATGAATGAATGTATGAAAATATAGTTGGGAGACCTACCATCAGTGAGTGGAATGCTTAACTGTAACTACAACAGTGAATCAACCCCCACCCATCCAGTCTATTACATAAGAAGAAGTTAAGGAAGTTTTCCTTTGAAATGTCAGAGGAAAGTTATTTTCAGAACAACATGTGTGGTCTCCAAGCAACTATACTAGTGCAAATCATGATGTTTGTAATGCGAAAGCCCAAGATCTGGTTTCTCGATTCAAGGAACATGTTTTGACAGGTCAAACAAATCCAAGTCAGTAATGTTGAGAGTTACCACATTACCCCATCAAAATAGTTTATTCCCAATCACAAGGAAACAAAAGAGGTGATGAAAGGTAGGAAATGCCAGAATGAACTTTTTAAAAATTTATTTAACATTGACATGCTTTTTGAATTGCAAACAACTATGGATTTTCTGATCTTTAGTTTCTCTATTTCAACCATATCATTTTGTGTGCCTGTTTATTTAATTTTCAGTAGCGGTGATGATTGTTGACTTCAGGAATGGAATATAACCAAATCTCCCAGGAGCCTTTTACTTGATAGCTATGAAGTTTAGAATGACCTTTGAGCTTCTTCTGCAGAAATCAAAACCGGGCAGGGCAGAATACATGGCTACATTTACAGCCCCAACATACTAATTTATGTTGCACTTACTTATGTTTTACTGAATTAACCCAATTAGGTTCACAGTACACAAAATAAACTAACCGTAGTGGCTAGGTTCACACAACACACAAATACAAATTAGCCACCCTCTTTTTAAGCTACTGTGTTTTGTAAACCCAGCTCATGGATGCTGCCTCAAGCTGAGAAGCAATTATTGGATAGTCCAAAACAGGGCATTCCATCAACTTCCCATCCCATTTTTTTCCCAGCAGACATACAGCTTTCCATAACTGCTGAGCATGAACTTAGGAGTTCATCCTAAGACATCACTTGCCCACTTCAAGATTTTCTTTGTATTTCTGAGCATACCAATACTTCTTTCTAGTTTCTCAACATGCACTTTTTTTGGGGGGGGGATTTCAATTTTGTCAATTCTCATTGTCTAAGTCTGCTGTTGGGAGAAATTTATTTCCTAGTTAAGAAATTAGAAGTAAAATTGTAGCTAAAAATAGAGAGAAGTATTACTATAAGGCTATATTCAATAGAAGCGAATATGTGTAGCTCGGGGTTGAACTGTGGAGTCCTTGGGGTTCTCTGAGCTTGGTTGTTTTCTTGCAAACGTTTTGTTACGGGGCTAGGTAACATAAGCACTGAAGATGTTACCTAGCCGGGTAACGAAACGTTTGCAAGAAAACAACCAAGCTCAGAGAACCCCAAGGACTCCACAAGGCTATATTCAACAACATATTGAACCATAAACTAGCTAACCACATTTGAAGTTAATGTCTTGAGCAAACTCAACCCATGTGGTTAATTAATAGTCCTAGCCCCGTAACAAAACGTTTGCAAGAAAACAACCAAGCTCAGAGAACCCCAAGGACTCCACAAGGCTATATTCAACAACATATTGAACCATAAACTAGCTAACCACATTTGAAGTTAATGTCTTGAGCAAACTCAACCCATGTGGTTAATTAATAGTCCAGTAAATTGTGCAAACCCAGAAAATTAGGTGGAGTAAACTATGGTTCAGTTAATCACGGATGAGCATGTTGTCCAACCGTAACCCATAACTAAGTCTTTTGCATGAAATATTTGTTCATCACCTTTTCCCATTCATACTTGATTCTAACCTGGATATGAAAAAAATTGCAGGAAGAAGGGAAAGTTGCAAATGGACTATTAGATGAACCAAGATAGTGAGGTGCTGGGACATGAAATTAGGCGATAAAATATCCTGACAGAACACCCTCCACATTCCAGTAGTAAACAAGCAGCAGATAACACCCCATTCTATAGATATTTGTGGCTTTGCTATACAACATCAACAAGATTTTTTGGGTGCTTGGAGAGGCAAGCTCTTTGCTGATCAAAGTGATTTGTTGGCCTTGTGTGGGCCCATTCCTATGTCTGTCCCTTCTTTTTTTCTGCTACAAAGTCCACTGCTTTTTAAAATACAGATTAACATATGCAATTTTTTTAGAGTCTTCTCAGCGATACTGGAAGGCTAGTACCCACTCTTCAGCTAGTTGGCTGCAAGCTACATATGGACAACCTCCTCCTTCTGAGCAGAGAAGTTCTTCCCTTTCCTGGAGAATTTCATTTGCTGGCATTAATTATTTTTCCTTCTTCTCTTTCAGTCACTTTCAGAAGTTAGAGCTGACACACATTATTTTTCTATAGAAGGCAAAGCTGGATGTGCAGTTTCCTCCCAGCAAACCAGAAATTAGTTCTTGGCTGTCCCTTTTCACTTAAAGACAAGCTAGCCCCTTCTGGTTAGCTCCATCTTCTGGTGAATGGGAAATATATTTTATTGTGCAACTGACATTAATCTTTGATAGCATTTAATAAGAGATTCAAATTGTGTCATCTTTGATGGTCATGCCCTGGTCACTTGCAACTGGACTACTACATTGTGCTCTACAGAGGGATGCTCTTGAAGACCATCCAGAAGTTACAGCAATGTGAACAGTAACAGGCACTTCTTGTTAAGTCCATGTGTTGTTGCTCCCACGCAAGCTGCATTGGTTGCCAGTCAGCTTCCAAGTACAATTCAAGGTATTAGCCATCACCTATAAAACCCTTCATGGCATAGGAACTGGTTATCTGCAGAACTGCCTATCTCTGATCATTTCTGCCCGTCCAGTGTGTTTGGACAGAATGGATGCACTCCAGGCTCTCTCAATTAAACGTCATCTTGTAGGACTGAGGAAATGTGTCTTCCCTGTTGCTGCCCCTGCCCTCTGGAATAGTGTCCTGCCAGAGATATGGATGGTGCCCACTCTTGGGGTTCTGGAAGGCCCTTAAGACCTGGCTCTGTTCCCAGGCCTGGTGATAGTGTGTTTGTGGAGCCCCTGTTGTGGTTATTACTATTAGTATTGCTATTCCTTTAGTCTGGGCTATTATTATTTATTGCTATGTTTTTAACTGTTTTAATTATAAATTTTGATGTTGTAAGCTGTCCAGAATCTTTTGGAGCTGGTGGCCACAGTAAATCTAAATATTATGGCCACCCACTCCAAAAGACTCTGAGCAGCTTACAACTTCAAAATATGTAATTAAAATAGTTAAAAATCTACACAATACTAACAACAGCAACACCCCCCACCCCTATTTTTCCACAATATTATTTTTCTTTCCAGGAAAAAAAAATCTGGAAGAACAGGTAAAAAGCTGCTCAACATCTTTTGAGTAAAAGTACCAAAGAACAACGATTGTAAGAATTAATCCTCTCTGGAAGCTCTCAATGCCTGTTACTGTTATTTGGGTTGTTAGTGTTGCTCCTTGGCCTCTGGGCTTCAAGTCTGCTCTCTTGCTCCTTGCCACTGCATCTGCCAATGCCCTCTTGGTGCCTCCATGGCCAACTATATTCAAGGGTTGTCCAGTTTTCCTGAGGTGCCCAAACTGGATATCTTCATCAATGAGACAAACGCTTTCAGCAGCAAAGCACCAGGGAAAGAGCCAGTTGCTGCGAAATTCTGCAACGGTGGATGTTTTATTATTATTATATTATTCCATGGATGTTTGATACAACCCCATGAAATCTAGCAGAAGTCTGATGGGAATGGGTGATGTATAGACTTGATAAATTAACAAACAAACTGCTGAGCTGGCAGAGGCTGAATGGAAGCCTGAAGAGGTGATGTTGAAGGAGAAAAGGTGAAGACAGCTGAGAAGGGGGGTACAGCAGCTCTGTAATGATTTTGTTAAGGTTGGGGAAGAAGGGAGAGAAGGGGCTACTGTGAGAGACCAGTTCTTAGGAGTGCCAAGAGAGCAAGCATCCATGGAAGCTAGTCAAGGGAGGAGTCTCTTTCTCTCCTCTTTTTTTCTTGGAGACTGGTAGCCTAAGCTTCTAGCCAGGTTGCCTGATGGAGGAATAGGTTTCCCCCAACCAATTGCCCTCCTGAGGTGCTTGAGCAGCCATACCTATCCTATTCTGAAGACCTTGTTTAACTTATGTCACTTGGTTTGTATTTGATACCATTACGCAAATTATGTAATTGTCACAATGACGTACTTGCTGATTTACCAGACATTCATGACAATGAATCCCTCACCCTGTGCAATTAGTCCATTAAAATGAAGGGTCACTGTACCTAGAGCATCTGATATAAAGTATTAATCACTAGCCATTAATTCAGTGAGCAAGTTGACTATTTAATAAATTACTATGGATAAAAAAAGTCTCCACACATTTGGCCAATTTATTTTTTGGCAGTGATGTCACCCAGCAGAAAATTTAATTGGACTGATATCATAAATCTAAAATAACTTTTGTGCTATGACTTCAATCCAAATAACTTTTGGGGGGGCAGTAATTCAAACAGATTGTGAGACCTTCCAGGTGAAGCTTTAGCCTGTATTCACAAAAATTTATGATAGTCAAGACTTTATGCTGTTCTACTTTTAATTTTTTTCTTTTTAGCAGTTCACTTTTTTTAAATCTAGCTCAGAGATAGCCCTTTTAAAATTCATTCTCTCTGTGCCAGTAACCATTTATAAAGTCCCATTAATATTGAACACAAAACAAAGAATTCAGAGAACAATTATAATTCCAATAACATTGTATACAAATGTATGCATAAACTAGGAAAACTTACAAAATTAGAGATATTCAAAATTTAGAACTGTCAGATTCAAGTGACACCCCAAATTTACATACATATACAAGTTTTTATAAAAGCTCAAAAGCTCTGTCAACTAGTGACAAAAATGAATGTATTCAAAATATTAAAAAGATTTAAGACTGGAAGAAAAGAGTAAGAAAATGTAAACTTTAAAAAATACCACAATAGAAACATTTAATGTATCATATACTTTTTTTTATAAAGTGCTATAATAACCATTATTGTGGCATGCTGTTCCACTTGTAATCTTTCTTCCTTACTAAAAATATATTAATGTATTATGATTTTTTTTAGACTGCCTAATAGTACCAATTTTAAAAATCAAATTAGATTAAAGTAGGATGGGGTGGGGGAACCCGTGCTTTCCATATTGGCTTTTAACTGAGAATCAGAAGAAAATATGGCTTTCAATATTGAAATTCTGTACTAATTTCAGACTGTGGTCTTGAAATTGCACCATTTTTCTCCTTTCTGCTTCATCCCTTATGGCTGCAGTTCATCTTGTTATTTGTGAGATGAGGCTGGCAAACTGAGAGGAAACCCTAATCTAATCTCTAACATGGCACATCTCAGGACTGGGCATTAATGTAAGGCTGTGAATTAATTAGATGTTTAATGCCACAAAGACTGATTATTTTTTCTCTATTTTTCTTTGCTTTATTTGTACTAATGAATATTAATGAAATATTCATATTGCCATTACATTATTTTAGTCAGCAATTTTTTGCACCACTTCCTTGGAAGTAAAATCCATAAACAAAGTGGGATTTACTTCTATATTCACAGAAATAGGATTGTGCTACTACTATAATCTTTGTTGGATAAGATAAACAGGTTCAATTTACAATAGCACAGAAATAATTATAATTATAATTTGGAAGAATAGTTTGATGAAATCAACTTCATCTGGAAAAGATAATTTAAAACCATTACCTGACCCTGCACATTTTTCTGGAAGGTCTCATTTTCAAATTTAAACCTTACAATATTTAATTTGCTAAATTCATAATATTACACAGGTTATCCTCTCCATATGGCATGGTACTGGGCATGGACCAAACATTACTTCCTAAGAGAAAATACAGCTTTTTTTTTTTTTTTGGCACCAGAAGTATCTTTCAATCTCTTCCATCTTATTTACGTGAACAAGAAGTGGAAGATTTCAAAACTAAGTATGCATTCCATTCAATCCAAAAATTATCTGCGTAACAGAAAAAATGAATGCAAACACTGATTTAGGTTCCACATGGGAACTGATCCACAGTTGAAAACTTACTCTCCCATAAATGGGGATAAGGCCCCTTCTGAGTAAACATGCAAAAAACTGGGTGGCTAATCAAGAACCCAGTCCAAGCACTTCAGCCCCAGTGACTATTCCAACTAAAAACATAGGCTTGAAAGGCTTACTGGAGTATACTATATACTAATAAGTTACTAATTTGAACTTTTTCAACAATGACAGCATGAGACTGTACTTCTAGAGCTGAACAAAAGGACTCATTTCTTCACTCTGCCAAGTCCATGTAGTTTCAGTTACAATACAAATGCATATGTATGATTAGATCACTCTTTGGCTTAGAAGTTGGCTTTGTGGCTAACTTTCAAAATTCTCTTCTTCCCAGCTTGCCTACTTTATCAATGATCAGCCCCAAATGTCATGTTTTGAACTTAAATGTAGAAAGTGCAAATATACTCAGTTACCTGTTTGCCTCCAAAGACAAGCCACTTCAGGTGCCAAGACTCCAGTCTCCCAGGGGGTCAACCCATTGCCAGCAATGGCAGCACAAAGAAGGGCCCAAACAAGATCAACTGAAAGTGCATTTCCAGGATAACAACAATGCAGTTGTGGCCAAGCTATAATCTTAAACCATGTGCCACCAGATTAACTTAGAATCATAAATACAACTTAAGATAACCTGCAGGAGTGCATTTGTTAACATACAAAGTCTGTTGCAAGTTCTTGAGAATATTGCAAAGAATCATCAAAGCGGAATCGTTTGGAGACTGTACTGCTGTCTTCTGGAATATTCTCTTTATCTTCTTGCTCACTGCACATTCCATTAGACATGGGCCGGTTATTATTTCTCTCTTCTATGCACTTACTCATATGATCATATGCTGGAGAAGAACTGGGGTTTTCTTCAGGGTTATACCACAATAAGAATTCTCCTTGCCTAAGCCAAGAGTGAGACAGACAGGCCTCTGCTGTTGGTCGCTCTCTACAAAGTAAGAGAAGAGATATGTAGATTTAAGATATGGAACTTGTTAAAATTGAGCCACAAAAATGGATAGTTCACCACCATTTAATACTGGCATAGACTATCAAATAGAACTATCTGTCAACTAGATTTGACAGGTTACAAAAGGGAAGGAGGATGCACTCCATTCTCCATTCCTTAACAACTTCAACCTAACTTCATTCCATAACAACTTCAAAGCTTGCTACCACATTCTTCAGGAAGCTGGGTAATCCTAACAAAAGCTTAAATCAGCCCTTTTATCCTATATTTCAGAAATGTATCAGTCAGGAAAAAATATTGGCAGAGGTGAGGAAAACAAGATGAAAAGCCTTCTCCCCAGTGGTGTGTACTATGCAGATCCAAAGAAGGCAAAGGTGTCTCAGATCTGGTATGGCTGTCTTTTGCCTGCTGGTTGTTGCTTAAAGAGGACACCGTTTTTCTGGGAGTTCACGTGATAGTCACACATGCTCAAGAAAATACATGTTTGAGTTTAGGGGGTATTACAGAGGCAGCAACAACTGATCACATCCTGTTGCCACTCCCTTAACTCAAAACATTTACTTTCCAGAGCCTGCATGAGTATCATGCAAATCCAGGAAAAGATGTTTCTTTAAACAGCAATCAACAGGTAGAGAGAAGGAGCCTATGATGGATCCAAAACATTCTTGCCCACTTTGAGTCAAAATATTGCACATCACTTCCCCTCTCCTTATTCTGCCTCTCTTTCTAATGGTATCTGTAATGTAAAAATATTCTCCTCTATTTGGACACATACATGCTCCAAGAGTAGAGCTATTAACAAATCAGCACACCAAAGAGGACCATGCAGCACAATGCTGCTGGAATAAACCAAGACATTTAAGAAACAGAGGAAAGGCTCTGTAACATGCCACAGCAGGCCATGGTGTCAAGGGGTTAGTTAGTAAAGAGGTAGCCCTTCATATTTTGGAGCAAACCCTGGTCTACCTTCTTCATCCTTCTGCCCTACTATTTCCAGAGAGAGAGAGAGAGAGAGAGAGAGGGAGGGAGGGAGGGAGGGGGAGAGAGAGAGAGAGAGAGAGAGAGAAAATAACCCAAACACAGATTCAACTTCTGCTAGCAGTCACTGGAGATAATAAACAGGCAGAGTTGTTGTATTACCACATTTTTCTGTAAGCCACAAACAAATTCAACCTACTATATCCCGAAGAATTTTTGCAACCTTACAACATCTTGCTTATTTAGTTATTAAGATGCTTAATCTAAACATCTTGTTTATTTAGTTATTATGACAACAGAACAGAACATCTAACAACAGAACAGAGAACAGAGAATTAAATAAAAGTGATTCTTTTAATTAAGCTTGCAGTGCATTTACTATATTAAGTCATGCAAAAACCAAGCTTTGGCATAAGAAAACCCATTTTTATTAGTATTTATTTATAACAAAACATGGAAGTTTTAATTTAAATCCCTCCATATCTTCCATCCCCATAAACTTACTCAGGATTTTTAACAAGGAGTTTTTGAATGAAATCTCTGGCCAATGATGAAACAGAAGCAAATGTTTCTTCTGAATAATCCACATTGAGTTGAGAAATGTTGAGATACGTTTCTTGTTTATCTGCTCCCACAAATGGAGATTCATGTGTAAGCAGCATGTATGTGATTACACCTACACTCCTGAAATTACAGAAGTTACACTTTTTCATGGATGTTACAAATTAAAATATTTCCTGCTGGTAAGTAACAGGTACTAAAACATTTAAATTTTTTTTACTGCTTTTTCATTCACTTATCAGAGAAAGTCATTCCAAGTACACTAAAGCTTTCATATAGTTGGATTATATATCTGATAAAATAAGTTCCTGAAGCATTTAAAGTTTTGCTTGTATTTTCCACATAGGAGATCAGACACCAGGATATTTGTCTCATCAGTGTCTTGTAACAAATATAACTTGATTACATAAGGAACAAAAGCCTTTTCATAAAGACTTTACAAATCCTGGCAAGCATGTGCCATGCGAAGGACACAATCTGATTCTGCAATAAACCAAAGGGAAGTCACCTGTCTGACACTCAATCCAAAATGTAATTGTTAAAATGAATAGAAGCAAGTCCCATACACATTCCACTGTACTTATGGAGATACTGAATCACACACAAGACTTCCAGAGAACATACTTTCAATTAGTGCAGAGGTAGGCAATGTTTCAGGGGCCAGGGTCGGCAACTCAGCCCCATCTTTCAAAAATGGGGCTCATAGGAGATATTCTGGCAGAGTCCTAAAATCACCAAAATGTGATTTTATTTTCCTTGGAAGTGGGTTTGGTTTACTAGAGTGGGAATGGGAGCAGGAGGCTTCTGAGAGGTAAGCAACTGTTTTCATCATCCCTATCTGACCCAAGAAACCCAGTTTGGTGTAGGGGTTAAAGGCATCAGGCTAGAAACAAGGAGACTGTGAGTTCTAGTCCCACCCTGGGCATGAAGTCAGCTAGGAAGAAGGTAATGGCAAAGCACTTTGGAAAATCTTGTCAAAAAAACTGCAGGGACCACACTGATTCGAAGGTGTGTGGGTGCGTGCACGCGCACACACACACACACACACACACAAACATAATCCAAAATCATACTGCCAAAATTTGGTCATTTTGCAGCCAAATTTCAGTGCCACATTCTAGGGATGCAGGGGAACACA